ACTTGAACAGCCAATTTTAATCAGTGTGGGGATTTCTCAGAAAACTGTGAATCAACCTACCACAAGACCCAGTATTAACCACTCTTATGCATATACCCAAAAGATGATCTATCATACCACAAAGAAACTTTCTCAGCTATGTTCATAGCATCTTTATTTGTAATAGCCAGAACCTAGAAATAACCTAGATGTCCCTCAGTGGAGGAATGGATAAGGAAATGTGGTACATTTACACAATGGAAAATACTTAGCTGTTAAAAACAAGAACACCAGGAATTTTGAAGTCAAATGGTTGGAACTAGAAAAAAATCGTCCTGATTGAGTTAACCCAGACTGAGAAAGACAAACATGGCATGTATTCATTTATATTTTTTCTAATGGCATTTTTAAATTGTATATTCATGTGTATGTGTGACTGGCTACATATGCATGTTTGTGTGAAAATGCATGCACCTGTATGTGCACCATCAGAAGAGAAGGCTAGATGCTTTAAGCTGTGGTTTGAGGTGTTTGTAGCATGATTGGCTGGTTAGTAAGAAACCAACTGACCCTAACAGGTGCCATTAACTGCTGAGTTATCCTCTCCACAAATAAGGGCAATTTGCCACATAACATATATGTTTGTAGTTTAGTGAAATCCATTGTATCAGCTTCACTCACCATAGATTACTCCTTTGGTGTCATGTTGGAATTCATCAACAAAACCAAGGACACACAGATTTTTATCCCTTTGTTGCTTACAGTGTTTCATTTCAGGTTAGGACTGGGGCTGAGTTCTAGGAGATTGGCTTCTGTGAAGTTTATAAGGATTTTGTCCAGATTTATATCCATACATGTGCAAGTCTTCTTTCTAACCATCATATTTTAAAGAGGCCATCTTTGCTTCTTGCAGTTCTTTTACGACTTTGTCTGGGATTCATTGGTGACAGTTGTATGTGCCAGTCACAGCTATCATTCTGCCACCTTGGTAAATCTCTCTTTCGCAAGAACAGTACATGTCGATGATTTTAATTCAATAGTAAATTCTAATGTCCTAAAGTGCAGTCCTCTAAAAAGCAACTGACCTTTATAACTAAATTATTGTTTCATCATTCACACTTGAAATTTCTTAGTATTGCAAGGACTATTTTCGGTTCTGAACTTTCTAACAAGATGATCAGTTCACTTTTATACATTCAAAATGTCATATCACAGTTATCCAAGCTGGTACACCTTACCGTTTCTTTCTTGTCTTTCTTATTGATTTGTCTTCAATGTGATAACAAAAAGGAGTTTTTAAGGGGGATATGCTCATTTTAATCATCATCATGGTCGATGCAAAAGCTTCTCAACATTATATATTAATAGTTTAGGACGTTGCTAATTTTAATTTTCTTCTCTAGCTATTGGAAATAAAACTCAGGATTTTTTTTTATTTTCTCCTTAGGCTGTCCATATGATGGTCTTCAGTGATTACTTTTAAAACAATCTTGAACTTTTACATCTAGATTATATAGCCCCTAATTATTTTACATAATAATTTTCATACACTGTTGGCTCTGGTAAACACTTTATTGAGAAATTTTGAAATTATATTTATGAAAAATACTGATTTGTAATACTGTCTTTTAAAATGGCTTTGTTGGTATTTGCTTCAAAATAATTATTGCTCTAAAGAATGAAATAGGAAAAAATATTTCTTCTGCTTTTATCTTTTGCAAAATACTATAGAGGGTTCATTGGCCTACTTTTAGCCAAAATGTTAGTAAAATTTGCCACCAGCATTCACCTTTAACCTAGGCCTGTGAATTCTGTTTTAGAATGTCATTAATTATGGTTTCAGTTACTTTGATAGCTATAGGTATAAAATAAATTGTATTTTCTTATTTAAGTTGTAATAGCATCTGTTTATTGAAAAAACACCCATATCATTTAGTTATTAAATCTTTAGGTATAGAGTTGTCTATATTGTGCATTCATTAGGTTTTCATATTATGGTATCTGTAGCCATGCCTCCAATTGATCTATGGTTGTAAATTATTGTAATTTTTCCCTTTCTTATTAGTCTGGATAAACAACAATCTCCTATTCATCATTTCAAAGAAATAGTATTTGGTTTCCTTGATTTTTCTTGATTGATTGTGCTTCAGTTTTGCATTTATGTTTATTCTTCCTTTGGGCTTATTTGTTTTTGCTTTTTTAGTTTCATGATATAGAAGCTGAGCTTATTGATCTTTCTTGTTTCATCATTTGTCATGTACACATTTAGTGATGTTATTATCCTCTAATAAAAGCCATTGCTATATCTCATGAATATTAAAATCTTCATTTAGCATTTAGTTGAGAATACTTTTCTTTGATTTGTGACACTTTGGATATGAGTAATGCATTGTTTACAAGTGTTTTGTTTAATTTCCACAGACTTTCAGATGTCTTCATTACTTTGCTGTTTGTTTTCAGGTTTAATCATTCTGTATTCCAGAAAAGAAACCATATGATGTCTGGGTTTTTTTTTTCAGTGTAAAGGATGTATTATAGGCAGGAATGTGGTTGCTCAGGGTTACACATCCACTCCTACAGAAAAAAAAAAGATATCAATATATACCATTCTTTGAAGAAGTATGTTAGTGGAAATGGAGAGATATCTCAGTGGTTATTCACATTAAGGTTCTTCTGGAGGATTGGATCAACACTCGGCAGCTTACAACAGTTTGTTTTTCAAGCTCTATGGGGATCTGGTGGCTTCTTGTGTCCTTCTCAGGTACCTTCCCATATGTAGCAAACATATTTGGACATAGGCCCACATACACTTATACATACAAATAAAAATGAGACTTAAATCAGATTATTGGTAAGGTTTATAGTCGTTTATATAGTACTTGAGAATAAAATTAAACTGATTTTTAAAATTGCTCCAACATATCAAATATCCAGCTTAATTTTTCTCCTTGTTTTTGTAATGCGAGCTAAATCATAGAAAATACAAGTCACAGTGCATAATTTGAAGCATAAAAGGAAAGACAGAAATGCATAAAGAATCCATGAAACTATTATAAATTTCAATAAATACAATGTCAGTGGTCATTGAAACTTTGTTTTGAATTGCACCCTATTTGAATGAGTAAAGTGAATTTAAAAATACATCTATTTGTACATGCAGTTGGTTTAAACTAAATAAGTGAGTGATTTTGAATATATTTCTAAATTTCTAGGAACTTATTTTCATTCTAGCTGAACAATAAATTATTATAATTCCATTTCAATATTGTCATCAATTTATTTCAATTTTATGTTTTTCATCACATTCAAATTTTTTACTCATCAATTTGAAAATGCTTATAACAACAATAGAACGGATTTAAAATATTTGTGGAGTTGTTGGCTTAAGAAGAACAAAAATTAAAGAAGAATTAACATGAAAATGTTGTGTTGGAGACTGGATATTTGCATAACCACAGCATGTTCTGCAGACAAGAAGAAAAAGACACCATGGCCAAAAAATTAGATGACTTGTGCATGGCCTAGTGCTTGTTTGGATTGATGCCTTCAACAAAACAAAATCCATCTTCTCTGACCAAATGATCCTTCATCCTAACACTATATGTACATTTTGAGTTTTGCAATTGTCATCTTGAAATTATTTGCCTTCAACTACCTCCTTGAGACTATTCTCAAACTCTAAATTATTAAATATAAAATACTTCCACTATTTAATCATAATGTTTCTACACAGCAGTGCTAATTAATTCAGTTTAGCTGGAATATCCCTGTCATTGGGGTGGAACAATATTTAAAGTAATTTTCAGAATGATTGTTGTGATGGCTAAATGAGATTTGGCAGTTATTAGTTTAATGATGTGGTTCTTTGGAGATGCGTTGGCTTTGTGTTTTCGATAGCACTGTACCATAAAGAGAAGAGGTTTTTGAGCAGCACTCTATGGGAATTATTCACAAGCATTCTGTAATGAAGTGACTCTCACAAAGGAATGAAATTACATTTTTGTTTTCCTAATTATTTTCTTCTTTCCCAGAAAAGGCCCCTTAATTGGGATTTTAATTTAGCTTCAAAAAACATTTTCTGGACAAATGGGATGTTTACAAATAAAAGATTTGGTGGTCCCAATAAAGGGGAATAGTTTCTCAGCTACAAATTGTTTATGCATTTTGAGCAGAAGGCAACAAACAGTTGTGTAAACTTCCTCGGGGTTAGAAAACAAATGCCCACTGTGACCTCTTAGTATTTGACACAAAAGGAAACAATTAGAAGAATCTGAATTTACCAATGGGACTTGTCATAGATTTCACAAATTACTGCCAGAAAGATTCAATGATTTTGTTTATTAAACAGAGGGATGATCATTGGAAAATCTAAAGTATGAGTCCATATAATTAAATGAAAATATTTGTAGATTTTTAACATGTCTTAGAGAAAAATGTTATATCATACTGGAATCCATGAGCACTAGTATGAATTGCCATCTGAGTATTTTCTATATTCAGCTATAGTTTTACTTTTATAAGTAAAATGAATCAGTCTATTACTATGACCAAAATTGCTACAAAAATAGTTAAATTAGTTAACTAACTTTTGTACATAAGCATGGTCCAATCATCAATTTGGCATAGCCAGAAAGTATTTTAGATCATAAAAAATGAATACCAACCTAAGGGTTGCAGTGTCCCCATTAACATTTAAACAATTTTGATTCAGATTTAATTTATTTCTGTAGTGACCTTCCCTAAGGAAACGGTTATGGCTTTATGTAAATGGTACATTTAGAAAATAGTATCACATTTTATGCTTATAGAGAGAGAAGAAAAGACTCACTCAGCTATGTAGAATAAATCCCATGTTAAAAACACATCAATGTACTATCAGTAATTCTAATAAAAATATATAAAATGGATTTGACTCATAGTGCAAAGATCTACTTTACTTCACTCTGAATTGTTTGTAATAAGTTTCATGCATCTGTAAAAGGACATAAATTTTCTTTGACTGGAGATATGGTTCAGAGGTTATCAGCACTTGTTACTTTACTGGAGGATCCAATTTTCGGCACCTAGAACTTACATGGTAGCTCACAGCCATCCATTACCCCAAATCGCAATTTCCAGGGTGAAATTCTGAAACTTCTGGCAACCCCACACATTGCAGAATACACAAGCAATATTCTAATAAATATTTTTGAATAAATACCTAAATAAACATTTTTAAAAGATACAAATTAATAGGTAAGAAAAACCAAGAGCAGAATTTAAGGAATAATTTTGTTAGCAAAGTAGCAATAAGAGGTCCTCTGCTAGCCTCCATGATGTCACCTGCCATGAGCAGTTGGTTAGGTTTATAATGCCAGATATGAACTCCCTCCCACTGAGTCAGCCTTAGTTGCATTATATGGCTGCTGGTTACATCCAATATGTAAGTGCCACTATTGTGCTAAGTGAATCTTGTAATGCTAGTAGTTGTTGTGGTTAACAGAGGTTAGAACTGGGTGTAGCTGTATTTATTCCCTCTGTTGGAAGTTGGAGAGGAGGCTTCCTGATCAATTCCTGCTGGATTCCTCCATTTGCACTGTCAGAAGTGTTTGGTGGCTTCCTTGGTGGGTCTTACTTTAAAGTCCTAGGAAACAACAAAGAGCATCAATAATAATCGTTATTATTTGTGGTTCTTCTTAAACTCCCATGACCAACAAATACACAAAGACAACTTTCGTTTTTTGTTTTTTTCAAAGTCTATAAGTATAAGAGGCACCATTATCACACCAAGTGGAAAAAATTCATTTAAACTGCATGTGTTTGTGCGTGTGTGTGTGTGTGTGTTTGTATGTGTGTGTGTTTTGTATAGCTTGTTCAAACTTCAATAGCATTCATTATTTATCCCTTTTGTTGGAGTTTTAAGATTTACAGGCTTTTTAACCTGCATGGATTTTGAGATACAATGAATACCTTAACAAAAGTTTAAGCATGTGAGAGAAGGGGATATTTGCTTAAATAAAATCAAGGGAAGGAGTATGAGATAAGCAACAATAGTCCCTACGGGGAATAGTGTAGATTTTAGCTGTTTTTAAGCACAGAGCATCTTTTCCTGGGCTGCTCTGCTGTTCTCTTCTGTTCCCTGTCACAGAGTCAGGTGGCCACACTGACCTGGGACAGAGACTTTGGAGAAAACTTTTAAATCAACATGCTTGGGTCTGGAGCAGAAGGGCCAATTCCAACCCCAGCTTTCAGTAAGGTAGAGCTGCATGAAACAGTTTTTTTTTATTTCAATATTATCCTTTCCGGAAAGGATATTGGATTTCTGCAATATAGATTTCAGTGATCTACATTTTCATAAATTTTGTGTGTGTGTATGTGTGTGTGTGTGTGTGTATGTGTGTGTGTAGATGGGAGCAAACAACTTGAAATGATTCTACCTCTTAGCTTTTAAAGACCCAGCAGGACTTTGTATGTTTGGAGAGACATAAGGACAACTAGGTCAAAAGCATAAAGCAAATGAGGTATAAGGCAAAAAGATCTCTGGGACACAGATTTCAGTGATCCACATTTCCGTAACTTGTGTGTGTGTCTTTCTCTCCCTCTCCCTGTCCCTCTCCCTCCTTCCCTCCTTCCTTCCCTCCCTCCCTCCCTCCTTCCCTCTCTCTCTTTCTCTCTCTCTCTCTCTCTCTCTCTCTGTGTGTGTGTGTGTGTGTGTGTGTGTGTGTGTAAATGGGAGAAAACAACTTGAAGTGACAACTAGACCAAAAGAATAAAACAAAAGAAGTATAAGGCAAAAAGAGCTACCCCAATTAGGAATAGATACAAATTTGCAGGGCCAAAGGAATTGACAGCATTCTGGCCCTGATCATGATTGAAAGCCAAAGCCTTGAGGGAGATTGAGTGAGCTGGGAATCTAAGGGCGTATGAGTCCTGAGATTATTCTGCCATTTATCTTAGGGAGTTATGTAAATCAGTTTAAGTATTAGGAAATGAAAGTTCCAAATTTGGGCCATCAGTAGTTGGGGCCAGATTTAGACTGAGAGTCGAACAAATGGAGCTATAAGTTCTTGCAAATGGAGCTTTGTAGATGAGCCTGAAACAATGTTCGGGATGGAGACTTTGGAACCCACGCAAGAGTGCAGAACCAAGGTCAACACCAGGGGTCATTATCATGTTGCTTAGAGGGTTCTCTAATTTCTTAAAAGACCAAATGATGTGATGGTCCATGTTAGAATTGGTTTCCATTTGAAGTATATTCTGACTTAGACTTCAAGCTTGCTTGCTCTAGTCTCCATGAGAATGTTCTGAGTAAGCCTATGGGAGAGAGCATATTATCTGTCTACGGAGCCACTGATGCCTGCTGTAGGTAGGCACTGAGATACATAAAGAATCTACTCGCTGCTAGCAGGATTCACGTGATAGACAGCGAGCCTAGCTGTTTCTCTATTCGAGGACAGTTCGGGGGCTGGTTAACAAATTATCACCTCTAGTCTGTATATGAGCAGGTTCTAAATTAAACTCGGGTTGTTCAGCAGTCCTCTCTCTCTTATGTTTCTGTCTCTGTGTGTTTTATCGGCCATTTCTCTGTCCTAGCGCCACTTTTCCGGTACCGAGCTGACTCCTTGGCACAGGACCCTAGTAAATATCCCAAAGTTTAAACCCATCCAAAACATGTTCAATGCCAGGATTAAGGAGCCACAAGGTCAGTGGAAGGTTGTCAGAGCCTTTAGTTGATGGAGTGGTAGGCCAGTGGAGAATCCACCAAACTTTCTCGAAATCACTAGAAAGTCTCCCATACCTTCCATTGAGCAGGCCTTAAGAAATCTCCAGTGAATCCCAAAACTTAGCCAAGGTAACTCTGTGTAAGGCCCAGATTAACTTTTCCTAATAATTGGTTATGTTGTGTGGCTGTTCTGACTGAATGTAGCCTAACCAGGTTCCTACCTAGGTCAGACTGTATGAGGATAGTCAGATGACAGAGAAAAAGGAGAGATGTGGGAAAAGAAGAAGGGAAACAAGGTGCCTTGGAGAGATGGGTGGCACTGCCAGCTGTTTTGGCCTGGAGCCAGAGAGCATGTGAGAGCCAGGGAGCACACAGATTTTCCATTCTGGGTTTCAGAACAATATTTTAGATTATTTAAAAGGAAGCTGTAGAGAAACAGAAATTGGAAAGAATGAAAAGTTTGGTCTGAGCTAAGGCAGGACCATGTTTTCCATGGGTTGGGACATATGCAAGTAGACAAAATACCTACAGAAGAAGACGGGATGTGGCCCCTTATAGGAGCAAAAATGACTTCTGAGTTCACAAGGTTAAGCTGGAAAATGCATTCTTTAAGCAGGAAACTCTCAGAACCTGTTATAGAAATCCACAGCTGGTCAAAATGAAGAGAACTACAGCCTGTGGCTTCGCCAGTCCTAGTTGATATATCTAGATAACAAGCTTTACACTTGAGGCTTAAGGACTATCACAGGATTGGGGAAGATTAAAGAGCCAGAGAAGCAGGATATCTGATGTAAGACAGAGTCTTCTGTATGTTACAAGGAAGCTTCACCTTTGAAACCTAAAAGTATGTTCACCTAACCAATACCAGCATAATAACAACACTATGTGATATGCCAAAAAAATGACAAAGAGAATATTTTACAAGAAAAAATATGATTTTAAAGATCTACAACAATTAATGATATTAAGAAAGGATCTTTTTCAGGGACATGTCCATTGTCAGATCACCTAATACTTAGTGGCCAAACATTAAATGGACTCGTGTGTGTGTGTGTGTGTGTGTGTGTGTGTGTGTGTGTGTGTGTGTGTATGAAAGGAGTTGGGAAGAGACAGAGTAGAAGTTGGAGGGGGGGCCGGGCGTTGGTGGGGCACGCCTTTAATCCCAGCACTTGGGAGGCAGAGGCAGGTGGATCTCTGTGAGTTCGAGGCCAGCCTGGTCTACAAGAGCTAGTTCCAGGACAGCCTCCAAAGCCACAGGGAAACCCTGTCTCGAAAAACCAAAAAAAAAAAAAGAGAAGTTGGAGGGGGAAGAGATGATTTAGCAATGTTGCAAATTATGTTTTTAAAAGAAAAAGGAAGTTGTCTTTTTAGTTAATATTGAAAAATATTTTGTTTTATTTTTAAGGCCTTTAACTTTCCTAACTAAAAAACAGCTAAAATTTTAATTAATTACAACTGATTGTAAGTGGAAATAGCTGCAATCAATTCCTATTAGATTACCTGGTTTTTCCCTGACACTCTGTCTTTAAAAAATATACAGTCAAGATTCCTCATCTGAATACTTGACTGATTTTGGAAGCTTCGTTTCAAGGGAAAAGTTTAATGGGGCTCTTCCCCATGAGTGGCTTCCCCACTTCATTAATATCTAAATGATGTTTATAGCTTGGCAGTAATCCAGGTCTAACAACAGAAATAATGACAAAATTCATGGTGCATCTAGACCTGCCCAGCTGCATTCAAACACACAAAGCTCAACAATGTGTGTTTTCCATGTGGAAAAAGTAGCAGCGTTTTGGTCTCTTTTGGTTATCAGTGCTTCCTATGTTCTGGTTTTCATAAGGTCATGAAGATTTCTAAAAACCTCCAAATGTTATTTTTTTCAGCAATGTCTACAACCTGAGAGAGATTAGTGTGAAATTCTAAAGCAAAAACAGGGAAACTAAATCTAGACGATACTTTCACACAACACAGGGGAAAATATTTGTGATAGCTTTGGTGCTAGCCACAGCCAAGTAATTACATAAAGGGTTTACAGCTTGGGACTTGTTACTTATGTTCATAGTAAAGTTTTCAAAGGTTGTTGAAATTACCAGAATAATATATTTGCTTCTACTTAGACACTAAATGTGTGATCACTACGAATGGAGTCATGGAGTCAGTCTGTTCTTGGATGCTTCGAAGCGAAGCACTCATTGTTCCTAAATAATGAAAGTTCTAGGTGGTGTCTCCTTTCAGTAGAAAACTCTTTGCCTACAATAAGAATATGCTGATTATATCCTCCATGGCTGACCTAAAGACTGCCTGAATAACTTGTTGCTATGTGTATCAGAACTTGTAGTGTTGACTAATATGGTGGCTCGGCAGATAAAGACAGCTGTCTCCTTTATGGCCATATAGAATACAACAAAAATATTTCGACTTTTGTATGCTTGTTAAAAGTTCCTTTTTATGCACAAGTGTGGTGGACCATCAGCTACCACAACTTTATGATGCACTCTAGAAAGAGATAAAAGACTTCTGGCTAAAAAGATAGGTTGGCTTTACATAATCTAAAGATAGGTTGATTTCAGATAACCCATTTGTAAGGCTTTCCCAAAAACAGGTATTTTAACTTTCCCTATTTGCAACTGCATTGGCATTAAATGTGAATTCATAAAAAAAAAGAAAAGAGTTCCTTTATTTCCTGATATGATCTACTTTACAAAACCCCATTGCTTACTGAGAAAAATTTATATTCTGCCATACTTATATGAGATAGTCTATAGATTTTGGAGGTCTTTTTAATTTTAGATGCTATTTAGTACAGCTCTTTCTCTGAGCAGTTAAATTTGTGTTTCTTTGAGTTCTACTCTGTTGGATATAAGAATGGTGACTCCTTATTTACTAGTTCCAGCTCCTCAGAATGAATGTGCCTGTCTTTG